CCTCGTCATATGACCGTCATCCAACTCTGTCCTTATCATGTGACCGTCACCCTGCTCTGTCCTTGTCATGTGACTCTCACTCCCCTCTGTTCTTGTCATGTGAGCGTCACCCACTCTGACTTTATCATGTGACCGTCACTCTTCTCTGCTATTGTCATGTGACCGTCACTCCGCACCGTCACTCCGCTCTGTCCTAGCTATATAGTCATGTTACCATCACTACTCTCTGTCCTTGCCATGCTGACCGCAATTCCGCTATGTCCCTGCCATGTGAGTCTTAACTCGCTCTATCCTTACCATGTAAGCGTCAATCTTCTCTGTCCTTATCATGTGAACCTCACTCCACTCGGTTGGTCATAGCACCCTTACGCCTCTCTGACGATGTCGAACCACTCTGACCTTGTCATATGACTCACACACCACACCGTCCATTCCAAGGAACCTAGCGCTACCACACGTTCTGGAAGCTGCCAAGTGTGCACTATTAATGAACATTTGACGTAATTTGAAAGGCAACGTCACCACGGTTTGTGTCGTAGCTGTTAACTTGGGGTTTGTGGACGCCGTTCCGTCTCCACATGTAGACAACTGTTATCACTTTCGTTTAGTTGACCAGTGTATAATATACGAATAACGGTGGGATTAATTATCCTACCGAGAAATATTGAGAGGATTACTAAATTTGTCGGCGCCATATCCCCGCGTTTATTTCTACAGTGTGAGATGAAGAAATCACTACACGTGATGATTCCGAAAGTAGAAACAAATCTGGCAGATATTCATTCTCACCATGTTTGTACACAATGCCTTACACTTGCATCGGTTTACTTGTTAAAATCCTGGCTTACAATCAACAGCACCAGATATGACTACACAGACAGAGAAACAAAGACGAAGGTGCGATGGCTGAGCGGGTAAGACGGCTGCAGCTGGTGTGCTGGGTGATTAGATGCTGGATGGTACTAGAATCGGTACTTTCTAAGAATTGGTACCCCAAATATAGCATATGTTAGCAACAGATATGGCGAAGCAAGATGGTCTCGAGATGCCTGTCGTACATCGGGTTCACGGACACGGAGGGACATCAACAGAGGTGTAAGGACCCCATGACATCAACAGAGGTGTAAGGACCCCCATGACATCAACAGAGAGGTGTAAGGACCCCATGACATCAACAGAGAGGTGTAAGGACATCATGACATCGAGTGGTGTAAGGGTCTCACATAAAGGACAGATCTCTATGAGCTTCACATGTTACCGTCGGCAAAGCGCTGTGCGGTTCTCATAATACAGCATTCTATATAATCATGACATGGACAGAGTAGCTTCATGAAATTAATCAAGGAGAGTGTGCAAAATGTTGACATTAGCGCTAATCAAGTCAACACTGTTCAGGTGCCTGCACACTCTGGGTTGTTATTTACCTGTCAGAGTCACGCGTAACACAGCAATATTTTCCCAGACCGGGCATTGTGCTTATTAGTGTCAGGTGTGTTCAGCGCGGTGTTCTTGTGTTTCAAGATTCCACCTGAGAACATTATGAAATACAATCCTTCCTTGATGTGTCCCTTTGTGTCAACGTTTCTTACCTGAACATATCAATATCTCGTTAGTGGTCAGTAGATGCCTAGTACACACAGGTCACCTTGCTGATAAAGTATGTGGGCTGATGTGATAAACAAATGACAAGCGTCGCATAACAAACGAGTTCTCATAAGTCAAACCCTTTATTACGGACACTGTTAATTTCGATATTCCCTTCTCGGCGATTTTTTGTAAATAAAAACATCGACATCTCTTTTATGCTGATAAAGATACGGCTGGGTGGAAAATGAAGGTATTGCTAAAACTGACATCTCAAACACCAGCCATCCACACAGGTTGTACTGTCATACCACCGCTACCTGTATACACCGGAAAAGTCGGGGACCAGACAAAACAGTGACATGTTTCTACTTTCCTGATTTTGTTGAAAATAATAATGTTAACTTTGAAATTATTTTGCCTCATACAGTTGCAGATATTCTGCGGTTTCAAGTAAAGAGAAACTCTTTAAAATCTTACCAACCCATAGTGCATAGGGTTTATCGGGTAGTGTTAACGTGTATGTGTATATATGTTTAATCCGAATGTTACTGGACGAACACAGTCCGGAATAACGAGGTTATTCTGTATTAGTCAAGGACTACCGATTAACATCTTCAAGCTGTATTTAGAGGCTGGTATGATGAAGAGGAATACTTATCATGGATAGACTACTTCTTTGTTGAAATAGATGCAACGTTTCGGTGTAGATCCTAACACCGTTATCAAGCCAATCACACACAACCTTATGCAAAAGGATGACTAAATACATGAAGGATATTTGAGTCTATTCAATTGAAGAGGTTGATGTACAGTATGTTGGGATTAAAGAAAATTATTGAACCTGGGTGGACAAAGGGTGGGGAAGGTTATTCTTGAATAGCCTCCATTAGATGATCTACCGATTAATAGATAAAATGTCCCCTGGGAGAAACAATCCTGTCAATTGAGAATGTGTTAATCTAGACAAGTTCACGAGGAGCATCACCTCAACAAGGCTTCGCCGTACACCACGCTGTTTGAAGGCATCAATATCAATAAGTGTCATATCGGAGGCAAACACCTAATAATATATTCCCCAAATTCATGATTCCGTAGTGCAAATATGAATATATTTATACCTCACAAGTATTTATCAGATACGAAATAGCTGAGAATGATGACAAAATGTAATTCTAAATTCTTGTAATTTGCAGTTAGACTATTGCAAATTGCCAGAGATCCGCTATTTCTTGAATAGCGATTTCACGGACACAAACATGCATGTTGAGAAAGGGTAATGTTATATGAGTGTAATCAACATGAGTATCTCGTGCTAATGAGTAGCTGAGCGTGTATTGTCTGGGTCAATCTCTTGTAAGTATTATTATCAGGCAAAGTGGTAATAACAAAAATATCAAACTGAATTTGCTTTGAAAACTGGAGATTCTTCGTTCAACGACGACCCGTACAGTGAAGCTCTCACAAATTAGGGAAATGTATGGAGCAGGTTTAAAACGACTAGGCTATAATCATAGGCAGATCGGGCATGGAGTTGCTACATCCGCTGTTTAGTGCATCCGAGGGTATTTATACTATAGAGATGTGCAATAAACAGCCAATTCTCCTGTTCGTTGTTACCGTTTACAAGGATGTGCACTGTCGCTAATCTATAAAGTTAGCTAGTGTTTATTCTGGAAAGAAGGACCAGGAAATCCGAAACAAATTACATACAGGAAAATTAAGTATCAATAACACACACGCTCGCACGCAAACACACACACATGGCAGTTATTACGACACATAGTTGCCTGTATATCTTACGACGTTAGCAATACTTACTCAGGATATAGTTCATACACACGCATTTCTTTTACCGCTGCAAGATCTGGTCACAGATCTTCACAAAACACAGTACTTACTGTCAGGTGTGAAATAGCCACGGGCCTGCTGGTCCGTGGCTAGAAAAATCCAGTCGAGCCAGCAAATCTTCACAGTCACTGGCTAGTGAATTTTCATGGGGTCATTTTGTAAATATATCACTCTCTCCGACTTGTTTAGTTATAATACACTTTTAAATCATGCAAGATTATGGCCTGAGAAATATGTTCATCATATTAGCAGTTTAATGATGAAACCCGTGTCTACATTCAAACTTCGGGCTTGTGAATTATTTTGTGGGCAAGTAACTTTCAGGCATAGATAGCCCGACTGGCTAGCGAAATTTGGAAACTTTTTCGCACACTGCGTGTGATATGATTAGTCAGCAAATAATGATCAACGTAAAATAGCATCGGTGGCTATCAAGGTCAGTATTCAGCTGGACACTGGTCCAAATTCGTGACCACAAGCTCGGGCTTAGAGGAGATCTTGTAAATAGATTGTACATTTATATATATTTAGGAAATGAGGATCGCTCGTGTAACGTTTGACGAATTTTACGTGATTGACATGTGGACGTAAACAAACATTTGTCACAAGTGATGGCACATCGTTGATTTCGAAAACAAAAACAAATCAGTATTTGTCACGTGTTGTGAGATTCTGAATGAGTAGAGTGGCAGTGTCTATGTCAGAATCAATGGAACATGAACCATGACGGATTGTTTTATCGGTATGAAATATGTATGTTGATGTCTGTCCGCCTCTGCGGACTATGAACCAACGGTGCGTGTCCGGCATACCACCAACTTTCAAAAGTAATTAACAAATACAACTCACTCTCCAGTTTCGTCGTCTTCCTCCTCGATGGCGTCCGGTTGACGGTGGAGAGGACGCCGAAGGTTCACGTCGTTCAGCCGAGTCGAAACTAGCAGCCGGCCACGCCAGATAGATGGAATCCCGAACTATTGTCTCCAAACTGCCAACTTCGTGAAATGACTGGGCCTTGGGAATATTGAGTTTCTCCTTCAGACGATGCATGGTTTGAATGATTATCCAACAAGATGATGATTATGATGATTATCCACAACACTATCCAGAACGATGAACACGGGAAAACTATTTTACACACTATATCCCAGAAGAAGGAAGCACCGAAACTGCATGTTGATGAATGAACGACAGATAAAGGTACTATATACTACAACCGTATTGAAAGCAAACATACGTTGGAAAGTATCAACAAATCTCCGAATTGTTTTGGAATATATTCCAGCTCTACGACAATGCAGCGATCGGTAGTGAACGATACTGAAATAGTAACACTATTGATAAACTGAGTTGTGTCTCAGCAATTGTTTACGTTTGCAGCTCGTGGGATCCACGCGCGTGCTTCTCCAAAAGCAGACGATACGTTGGAATTGGCGGCCTGCAGCAGACGACACTTCTATGCGACAGTATGAAAGCTCCAGCTGTTCTGCAATGGAGAGAATGATGGTACGGCGTACTACGACGGTTTGACAATCGGCTCAAACCTTTTCCGCGGCTTCTCCCGATCACAATATCGCTACGTCCATTCATCAATTGATCCGTGGACAGAAGACCGCGCATGCGTGAGAGATGTTTTGAATTTCTCAGTTGACGAGGCCGTATTGCCGGAAGGATTCCATCAGATATAGCATGGCCACTGTAACAATTGGTGGCTGGCATTGGAACGGAGATCTTTGATGCCATGCCGTAACGTCCATTAGAGGATGTTTAAAAATTGTGACAGTGTTCCTAAATGATATTTTACATGTCATTTTTAAATCATGTAAAGGGTTGAAATTGTTTATACTGAACACTGAATATTCAAAGAGCACTATTTGTTTCCTTTTTTAATATTCAGTAATATGGACATTGCATACAACAGAAATATATAACGGCATCCTTATTTAGATATTATTTGGGATCATACCACGTCATCATAATTTGCAAGACTATACGGTGGTGGAGAGGCAGAGACTATGGATGGATAGTTTGCAATCCGAGCAGGTATCTTCCCATTACGCAGACAGTCCGAGCAAGTCTGGTCCACCATTCACAACAAAATCACAAACTCAAACGTTCTTATGTATATCAAGTTATATATATTGCAGTAAATGGTATGTTGTATACCTGGTATCCGGTACCCCACTGTCTTCCAAGACGTACGAAACTCAATGTTTTTAATTGTACCCACGTTCCTGTTGTAGACAGGGGGGTATAGTCCTAAAATGACGTCATCATCGAACACCTGGCTGACCTCATTTCACAGGGGTGTCAATGACCGTGGGAAACACATCATAGCATCACACCATGACATCATGCCACTATTTTTAGACCAGGAGCATAGCAACCGAAAGAGAATGACATCACGCCACTATGTTGGACCAATCAGCATACAGCCAACTCAGTCCGGTGTGACTCACCCTGACCGAGGGGTCAATGACCGCGCGTCCCGTGGGAAACACATCATAGCATCACACCATGACATCACGCCATTAATTTAGGCCAATCAGCGTAGAACAACTATTGGGGTTCACTGGACCACTGACCACAAACTAGTTTCGTCCGGTTTCAATTTTACCTATTAAAAAAACCCTCTGACAGTCAGTTGAAGTTATCATTTTGTCCTCTTACAAAATGTTTATATTTTCTATACTCAATAACCTTTTCTGTGGAGAAAATCTGTCATCTCAGAGCGCGCGCCGTTGAGGCATGGTGAATTAACAGTCGCAGCCTCCACACACTTCCCTCGTCTCACTCCGCCGAGGTGTAATATGATACCTCCTCAAGTTGTACTCAAAATCGTGGGTCTAACATTAGCCTGTCTCACGGTCCCTGACCCATATTATTTTGCCTACAGCCTAGCCCTCCCTGCAGTGCAAAAAGGCTCTAAATGAAGTCTAGATTTTCCCCAGGTCTGCCTTGGGCTCCTTGTCAATTTAAATAGGTTTGTTTGTTACTATCAAGATAATACATTCAGAGACTAAACATTAGTCTAGTCTAACATGAGCACTCATATGTGTAAAAGAAATGATACGGGTTCAGTTCACGGGTTTTATAACACATTTGTTCAATGCAATCAGCGTTCATTGCCACATGAAAATGGTTTGAGTTTGTCTTGACCATCACCAAAACAACCCAACTCAATAGAATTTCAAACGTATTTCAAACTTACCGGTATTCACATTCCATATTTGAATATCCAATCCATATTGTCATTGTATCCTGCCTTGTAATGCGATAAATTTAGGAATCAGGGATGATATTGAGATGTTATACCCAAATCCCATATGTTTGTGATTGTATTGAATGAATCAACCACCAAAACACATGAGACTAATATTGCACCTTCCATGTAAATAGAACATATGGTATATCTGGGATTGTGTCGTGCAAAACACTCTCCCTCTCACAGTGCTAGCAGAGACGCGATCTGGTGACCCACATTTGCGTGTGTGGGACTATGCTGTGGCGGGAGGGGTAGGGGAGGGGCGGGGGCACTGCCTTGGCAGAGGGAGGGAGGTTTCTGTCGACAGTTATAGCCTGACGACATTTCCCAAAACACCCACAAATAAAAATGCTCGTTAGAATGAACGCTAGCAAGGGCGTGTCAGCTTTGAAATGTGCGTTCTGGTCATGGGGTTTTTGTACATCATATTTAGGAATGCAACTTTCAACTTTCTAAAATTCCATCTGGAATGGGGGGTAATTGTATAGTGTTAGCATGAAAGAGTAATCATAAATGACAACTCACAGGTGTATATAATTTTTATATGGGTATTTATATAGCACTATAGTCCATACCGCATGCATGCTCAAAGGGCTGGCAACTTGTTCCTTGGATGTCAATCACAGCCATATTACCATTCTCAACTCCCCGGGGATCATCTTGCTGCCACTAGGCGCACTAAGTTAATGTGGCTACTAACGAGGTATACATCACAAAAAACAAGATAAACTGATTTCATTTTTTTTTATTAGCTCCGTTTCAAACGAGTACAACTACGGGATAGGAGCGCTCCCCAGAAGTTTACTTTACATCTGTTGTCTTATCACCGTTCCTAATCGTCATAGCCTTCACTCTCTTCATCAGATGTTATGTCTGCATTATCATCTTCGGTCAAGCCTTCGACCCAAGACTTATATTGGTACAGATTGGAAAACACATCATGATACAGATTATTTGTGTCTCCTACTTGTTTCAGTATTCCTTGTGTGTTTGGGCCATACTGCATATGGTACAGATAAGTAATAAACCAGGCATACGTCTCTTTAAACGTGCTCCACATGTATTTGTTCAGTTTGGCTTGAATCGTGTCTTCGTTTAAACCTCTTTTCATGTACAGCTGTCGTTTCTCATCCAAAAAAGTCTTTATTCAGCTCACGTGTACGTGAATACATTTGTCTTATACCTTGCTCTTCGAGATCAGCCATCTTTTTTTCCCTGTTGTTTTGTGTGACATCGTTTAATGATTCATCATCATCATTTTCCATTTCAGGACATTGTTTATCGTGTAAATGTCTTTGTAAGTTGTGGTTGTTGCTAAACACTTGACCACAATAGTCACAATCTGACAGTGTACGTGGTGCCTTCACAGGAGAGAAGTTGTCGCCTTCCTCCCACTTCCTTTTTCACTTGGGGTATTCCCGGTGGACACACTGAAGACTTTACGGGACACCAGTTTCTTCTGTGTTTTTGCAAATCATGCATGTCTTGAAACATGAGTCCACAGTCATCACAAGATGGCATGGTTGGGAGGTTTTCTTCACACGTCTGCTCACGCCGAAAGTCTAACTCGGACTGAATGGTCCTAGATTGGATGTCTCCTTTTAAGCTGAATGCATTGGGGCAAAGTCGCAAATGGGGAGGTGTTTGGGGTTTTAGATCAACCAACAAGTAACCATATGGTTTCTGGATAGCTCTTTGAAACGGCTCCATGAAACGGTCTGTGTTACCTGGATACATTTGCCTCGCCAAAGTCATGATGGGTTGTTGATCGATAGGGTTGTTGAACAGAAGCAGATAATGGCAGTTTCTTCGTTGTGTGGGATCCTTACTGAAATACAAATTCTGGTTCAAGGCGATCACTGAGAGATTACGATGATGACTTCCTTCCGTAAACAGATCTGTAATGCGTGGGTCCTTGCTGGCAGTAGACATTAAGTCATCGAGGATAACCACGTTCACCACATGGGGGGTCCAGAAATGCATCCTTTTCGAGATCAGAAGGAATGCCTTGATGAAATTCCACATAGGGATAAACATGGGTTTGAATGGCATTATACAAGGGCTGCCATCGTTTGTAGAGCCATATAATACGTTCAGGATAAGGTTTAATGTTCATCCTTTCTAGAATCTGTTTCACTAAGTAGGTTTTCCCACAGGAGGTGGGGCCTGAGACAATCATGGTGAAGGGGGTGAATCAGTCTACATTCTTCCAATGACTGGGTAATACTTTCTGATGAATGTGGTTGCTGCTGCTGCTGCTGCTGTGGTTGTGGAGGAGGAGGAGAGGGTTGTTGAAGTGGTTGTGGAGGAGGAGGAGGAGGAGGAGGAGGAGGAGGAGAGGGTTGTTGATGTTTCTGTCTTCTATGTCTCAACATATTGTCTGTCCTGGAAAACGTCATATAGCACACGGGACACGTTGTTGACTGCATGGTGGTCCGAGTCTAAATGGCAAAGAACCTGTCTACTGACTGCTTTTATCTAAAAACACGTCTTCCGTTTCTTTGTGCGACTCTGGGAGGAAGTCATTATTTTGGCTTCAGTTTTTTCCCCGTTCTCCTGCATCTTAATACGAGCTTTGGCCTGTTGAACGACTTGTTGGGTTGGAGACGTGAGAGCAAAGTTGTCTGTAGAATGGGGTAGGTCCATCTTGACGCCTTGTTTCTCATAATAGATCACATAATCATCCACGTTAGTAAAGGGATTGGGATATCCTTTAGCCTGCAAATAGTAATATTTGGTCCATTTCTTAGGGTCGTCCAAATAGGGTCTCCAGTATCTTCTGTTCATTGTCTTGTTCAGAACAAATACTGACTCTCACACAGAGGTTTCAGATGAAGTGTCACTATCACGGGTCCCGTGATAAATGAAGCTTAATCACCGTTTATGTCCTTTATATAGATGTCTGCTAGCCCTAATTCTAAAAACATGTTGTTAGCAGAGCGTGGTTTCGATCCACGGTCCTCTGGGTTATGAGCCCAGTGCGCTTCCACTGTGCCACTCTGCTCTCCCTTCACCTACCTTTTGTTAGGACTTTTATACACCACATCAACCAATGACAACCAAAATTGATTTATTCTCAAATAGTCACAAATACACACAATATTGTACGATGAACATCACACTCGTACACATGTAAATCTACATGAATACCATGATGTCATTCTTTTCGGTTGCTATGCTCCTGATCTAAAAATACCCCTGGGAAAGTGGTTTATCCCAAGGTCAGCTCGGTACAAGGTCATTGACACCCCTTTGAAATGAGGTCAGCCAGGTGTTCGATGATGACGTCATTTTTCGTCTATACCCCCCTGTCTACAACATCTGGCAGGGCAGAGCACTCTTTATTTTTGCTTAACATCTGGTATCAACATTTGTTGTCAGTTGTCGATTCGTAAACTTTTCACGAACCGTTTCTGTAAAACATCGTGAAATGGTCTTAAAGTAGTGAGTGAGTTTAGTTTTACGCCGCTTTTAGCAATATTCCAGCAATATCAGAAATAGGGGACACCATGAATGGACTTCACACATTGTACCCATGTGGGGAATCGAACCCGGGTCTACGGCGTGAGGAGTGAACGCTTTAACCAATATATAGGCTACCCCACCGCCCATGTCTCGAAGGAAAAACCTTAATTTTATTGAAAATAAGGTTTAGAAAAAGGGTAATGTCATCTGTTTTGAGACCCTTGAGTGAAAGTATTGAGCAATAAAGTACGCGCTTGAAAGTATGAGCTTAAAAGGATTCAACGAAATAACTACAGATATTAGATTAGACAATTACGTTATCTAAACGTTCCCAAACGAAAGACGGTTGATGAAAACACAAAGACGTATTCCTAATCAAATGCATGACCATCAAGTAAGTTTCCTTGTTTGTTTCAGTGTAGACACCCTCGAACGCGAGTGTGTATATTCCGCATGTCCGGCATCTTGGCTCTTGGTCAAATTCAGACCCCGATAACCTATACAGATGGCCCGATCCCTCTGGCCACGGCATTGTTTGAGTCGACTGGTTGTTGTGGCCAAGAGCGTGCTATTTACAATTCACAATACAATTATCGTTCTCTGTAAGTTAATTATCTTACCGCACACGTGCACCATACACGAGGGACAGGGGTGGCCCGGCCATCTAAGGCGCTTAAAATTACTCTGCTATCTGAGTCTCTTAGATAGGCCATGAACCGAGTTCGAGTCCGAGATTCGTCCTGAATGTTTAGGTTTGTCAGAGCCACAGGGGCCTGTCACGCAAAAAGTAGCATTGATGTACAAAAGGACCATTTATATAGTGCCATGACCCCGGAAATGGCAATATTGACCTTTACGCTATTTTTTAGTGACAATCCGTGGTCAGGGCAATGCCCTGGGTGTATTCAGAATTTGTCTTCAGCAACCTTCTTGTCGTAAGACACGATTAACGGGATCGGGTGGTCAGGCTCGCTGACTTGGTTGATACATGTCATTGTATCCCAGTTGTGTAGATGGATGCTCATAATGTTGATCACTGGAAAGTCTTGTCCAGACTCGATTATTTACAAACCTCCGTCGTTTAACTGCAAATTTGCTGAGTGTAGCGTTGAACAACAAACAGCAACTACTCTCTCCCCTATGATTCGCGACATGGGCAAAACGTGTGAAGCCCATTTCTGGTGTCCCCAAGGGCGGTGGGGTAGCCTAGTGGTTAAAGCGTTCGCTCGTCACGTCGAAGGCCCGGGTTCGATTCCCCACATGGGTACAATTTGTGAAGCCCATTTCTGGTGTCCCCCGCCGTGATATTGCTAGAATATTGCTAAAAACGGCGTAAAACCATACTCAGTCAGTCAGTCTGGTGTCCCCGCTATGAATATTGCTGGAATATTGCTAAAAGCGGCGTAAAACCCATCACTCACTTATTCTCCAAACACAAAGTAATCCCTTACACAATGCTAAGATTCTTGTAAATCCCAACTAGTGAGAATCGAAGTCATGTATAAATAATGTCATCCCGTGGATTATGTTCATCGTCCCAGATGTACTGAACCATTGCTCAGTCCGGCTCAGGCCGACTCAGTCCGATTCATTCCGGCACAGTCCGGTTTACCTTGAACAGGAGCCTATTTTGACGCCATTGCGATGCAGTTGGAAGATTCCTTACGCAAAGCGTAAAACAACATTCACACATGGCATTCACGTCTCCAAGGAGATCACACCAGGAGAAGCTAATGAGCGTTGGGAACATTAAGGTCAAGACGTTTATTGAATGACAATCTACTGAATCCTCGAAGGAACTGGAAGGACTAATGATACACTATAGGGACGTTTGAGACAAATTGTCTGACTGGCAAGTGAATGACTGTTTGGCCTTCGTGGCTTCACCTATTATCGATGGCGAACGTATTGGACGAGTGAGCGAGTGAATGTTGTATTTTGGGGTTTGTGTTTGTGAAGGAGAGTGAATGTTACAAGTTGTATCTTTATGGATTTATTTAGTGAGTGAGTAAGTGAATGGGGTTTTTTATGTTGTAATTCGTTTGGTTTTTATTTAGTGAGTGAGTGAATGTTTTTTTGTTGTGATTTGGTGTATTTACTTAGTAAGAGTGAATGCTGTCTTCTGTTTTGGAGATTATATTTACGCTGAGCTCAGCAATATTCAAGCTGTATGACCAGTAGATAATCAAGTCTGGGTCAGACAATTTAGTTTCGTTGAAATAAATAAAACAGCGTTTTACATATGCATTTTGATCCTCACTGATCCAACTTTACTCTGCATTCGCTGTCCAGACAGAAACTCTATCCACTGTACTTAAAGGCGGTACTTGGAACTTATAACAGAATGGGTGAGTGACTTTAGTTTTACGCCGCTTTTACCCATATTCCAGCAATATCACGGCGGGGGACACCAGAAATGGGCTTCACACATTGTACCCATGTGAGGAATCGAACCCGGATCTTTGGCGTGACGAGCGAACGCTTTAACCGCTTGGCTACTCAACCAACCCTTTTTTACAGAATACACCGAGGATGTGTAACTTACTGAACATAAACGGAAATATCCGTTAAGGAAATATACTCTCCCAAAAAAGAAACGCATCATGAAAATAGCAATTTCATGTAGCAATGAATTAAAACGTGATTCATTTTACAAAAGGTTTTGCTCTGTTTATGAGTCCTATGGTGTTTATGTTTTGAAACATCACAACAAAACGCACCATCCGTACAATACCCGTATTTAACAGCATGATTTTCAATTTCGGCGTGTAGTGTCACAGAATACACAATTCACATGCAATGCACGTGAAAGGTGGGGAACGGATAGTCTCAATGATGGGTATAAAAGGTTGATCGCTGTCTGTCGATTATTCACTGTATTTGGAATATTGTTAACGAACGCAAAATGCCACGACTAAGTGAAGCCAACCGTCATATCGCCATTGGTTTGCTTGAAGCTAGCCAGTCTCAACGTGCAGTTGCCCGACGCATGAATGTTCACCAAAGCACCATTTCACGGCTCTGGGAGATATCGCCGGCAGAATTCGGTAGCAGATGCCCTCGTAGTGGGCGACCTCGAGCGACCACTGCGGCGCAGGATCGCTACATCCGAGTACATCACCTGCGTCATCGAACAGCTACGGCGACCAGTACCGCTCGACAAATACCCGGGTTGAGGAGGCTTTCTGCACAGACCGTCAGGAACAGGTTGAGAGAGGCTGGTTTACGTGCCAGAAGACCTTATTTTGGCCCTGTGCTTCAACAACATCGTCGACATCGAGTTCAATGGTGCACCAACGTTCAGGCCTGGAACCTACCGAACTGGCGTAGAATCTGGTTCAGTGATGAATCACGATTTCTATTGGAACGACGCGATGGAAGAATGCGGGTGTACAGACGTCGACGTGAACGTTTCGCCGACGCTTGCGTTCCCCAGGTGGACATATTCGGCCGGGGAAGTGTTATGATGTGGGGAGCGATCACTTGCCGTAGGAGAAGTGATTTGGTGATGATCCAGGGCAACCTGACGGCTCAACGGTACTGTGACGAAATCCTACGCCCAATAATCTTCCTCCAGAACCACAACATCAATGTGCTCCCCTGGCCCTCAAGATCACCGGACTTAAACCCGATCGAACATCTGTGGGATGCCTGGACAGACGGGTGAGACGCCGTAACCCTCAGCCCCAGACACTTCAGCAACTCGCACAGGCTGCACTACAGGCAGAGTGGGCTGCGATTGGGCAACACGAGATTCTGAGACTTTTCGTTCGATGCTGAGGCGGTGCCGTGCAGTTCTGATGCCCACGGTGGTCACACGAGGTATTGACTTCAGCGCCACCACATCGTCCCCATGTGACACTCAAACTGACTTTCCTCGAGTTGGTGCCAAAGACAGGATAAGTCTGCATATCCAGTGTGCAATTTCGCTATATTTCATTGACTCATAAAGCCTACAAGATATTTCAAAATAAACATAAAAAAATACAGTTGAAATTCTATATGCGTTTCTTTTGGGGAGAGTATATATTAGGCAAGCGGTTAAAGTGTTTGTTTGTCATGCAGAGGACACGGGTTCGATTCCCAGCACAGGTACAGTGAGTGAAACCCATTGTCAATGCTTCTTCGACGAAACAGGTTCTAGAATATTGCTGAGGGTGACGTAAAATTATATTCACTCAGTCACTTGCAAACGGGAGCAGCACAGCAACCTGACAACGTTGTTATTTGGATAGCAGAACACTTAAGGTCTATCCAGGGCACCTCCGAGGCGTTGGCACTTTAATGTACAATCAATTACATCATCTTTTTCACACATACACACACATTCGGTACTAAGCAGAAAATAAACACAACGCACATCGTAAAACACAACTCAAAATAACGGATTCATAAATTCATTTTTTTCAATTTTGTAACATTCCCCGTGGATGGAGATTCTAATGGCGTCCTAGTGGCATCGCGCCGTTCCTTCATCGTCATCCATTGGAAGTCTTTAATGTGAGAAATAATGACAAAACGTCGACAGATCTGTGCCCGATCGACGAATTCCATGTCTACTGTAATTCTATCCGATTCCATCCAAACTCTGGTATAGGCGATGAAAGGCGTCACTCGTAGTGTTTAGTGTCAATCATGGAGATATGTGTAAATACTCAGCTCGGCTCTTGTACTCTAAAACCAGGCTACTGAAGACTCGGCCGTAGTTTTCAAGAGGAATTACATTGTTGCTTGGTTCTAGGACGTCTCTGGGGAGATTTGAGAGGACCAACGATTTATTAACGGTTTTATTGCATTTTTGCTGTTGAAAAATGGTTATCTGGGCATGCATGATGTCGGAATCGCGCCTTGGGGGTGAACGTTTATTTTAAAACAGCTGTTCGAGTACATGCGGCTCTTTTATCGGGGATTGGTTTTACTGGTTTTGCTTCTGAATTAGAATTCGGGGTGTTGAGGTTAGGTGAATTGGGTTTAACGTCGTGTAAAGGATTGTTGCACGTATACAATGACGTGATTATATTGTCTGCATGTTTGTTAGTGAGTGTGTGTGTGTGCGTGCGTGTACGTGTGCGCGCGTGTACGTGTGTGTGTGTGTGTGTGCGCGCGCACGCGCATTGTGCGTGTGTGTGTGCTGGTCTTCTTTGATACACTGCCGCAATTGAATCATGGCTACCCTCTCAGACACGAGACGTGCTTGCTTTGCCTGCATCTTTGTGCTCGTATGTATATGTGAACGAGCGTGCGTGCGTGCGTGCGTGCGTGCGTGCATGTGTGTGTTTGCCTTCGTTGACATCCTGCCGAGGCTCCCCGGCTCAGACACTGGATACTGATCGCGAGACGAACAGAGCATGTTTTATTCCCCTTTAACCAACACCAGGAAGTGAAAAACACAATGACCACTTTGTAACGTATTTAGGTAAGACACGACCGGGGAGCTTACGCTGTCAGGGCAGACGCTTTATCCACAAGACCAGAGAGTCTATGGCAATGCGAATAACAGCTGGGCCCAAACAACCGTTCAACCTCTCAGCTGAGGGGCGGTCGGGTAGCCTAGTGGTTAAAGCGTTCGCTCGTCACGCCGAAGACCCGATTCGATTCCCTCATGGGTGCAATGTTGTGAAGTCCATTTCTAGTGCCCCCGTCGTAGTATTGCTGGAAACGCGACGTAAAACTTAACTCACACACTCACTTTCAGTTGACTTTGGAACGTACCAGCAGGGATGTCCATACTGTGTTCATTTTTAACTTCATCAAACATTATACAGCCACTTAGTAAATGGCTCTCTAAACAGGTAAAACATCAACTGGCTAACCCACTTCTTTGTCCCGTCAGGTCTATAAGGGCCGTTCTGGGATGTAGGAATCATAATGGACTATGCCATTAAACCCAATCAACTCACTCCGATAATGGATATCGTACAGGCTGTCCGAGGTAAGACGTCTGTTTAGGTATATAGTAGGTAGCGCCGGCTTTCACTATAACTCCCAACATCACTTGTTAAAGAGGACCCTGGGACGAGCTGACCGGAGCAGCATCTGTCCTGAAATTATCAGTTATAGCGGACCAGGTGAAAACAACGTACAGTAAGTGTCTACATCTCGCCCTGAGTGAGTGAGTATGATGTTATGCAGTTTTAAGCGGTATTCTTTCAATACCACGTCAAGGAGGCTATGTGTTATTAGGGACCGTTCAAAATTTATATAGCTAGGTGGGAGTGATGATGATTTTTATGGAGAAGCATGTACAATGTGAAGGGACCCTTTAAAATTTATGTACAAAGTGGAAACACACACACACAAGTGGACACCCACACACACACACACACACACACACACACACCACACACACACACACTTGCATGTCATGTACAAAATCATTTACCCCCCTCCCATTCCCAATTTTTTTCAGCAGGGTATCCGGGCTTAGTCTGGTCTATTCACTCAACGACATGATACGTGTTTGAGAGAGATTTTAATTTTTCGCTTTAATGAGGCAATGAGGTAGCCTAGTGGTTCATGCGTTCGCCCGTCACGCCAAAGTCCCTGGCTCGACACATGGGTACAATGTGTGAAGCCCATTTCTGATGTCCCCGCTATGATTTTGCTGGATTATTGCTAAAAGGCGGCGTAAAACCAAACTCACTCACTATCCCCATATTTCCAGCGTCAGAGAGTGTATTCAAGTCACATCTTGTGACGTCTTTTGATATGACACCACCAGGGCATCGAACCGCCGACCTTCCCCACTCTACCAAGTGAACTAATATGACGGTTTGAGATGAGAGTTACGCAATTTTCAGATTGAGATTGTCGTTTCAGCAGTATTAACATCTAAATCATTTAGTTCACTGCACAGGATTTGAAACAAAGCCTGGGAGCAAAAACACACAACACTGCGCTTCCCGCTGGGTTTAATTAACGAACTGAACGTCAGTGCTTTGTGCTGATTCAGCAGTAAAACACAGAGCTTCTCAATCCTCCTACTTTTAATGTTTTGAACGTGAAACATTTTGTCCCAATTGTGTTTGTTTTAAATCCATGAATCAAAATAGCCCAGATACAAGTTGAAATCAAAGTCCTGCCTTGGGATCTTTTGCTTGGTTATTCATGAATCTAAATACATCCTCATCAATGAGCTGGTATCCGTCGATTCATGTTCTTTGTAGACATAACAAATTTATTTTGAATAATTTTCAGCCGTTAGGAGGTAGAATGGCGGCGTGGCGAGATCTAGTGTTTGTATGCTTGTTGTTTTACGCCACACTCGGCAATATTCCAGCTATATGACGGCGGTTTGTAAATAATCTGGATCAGACAATCCAGTGATCACCAACATGAACATCGATCTACGCAATTGGGATACGATGACATGTGTCAACCAAGTCAGCGAGCCTGACCACCCGATCCCGTTAGTCGCCCCTTAAGGACAAAGATGGGTTGCTGAAGACCAATTCTACCCCGGATCTCCAAGGGTGCTACCCGAAATAGAGCCACCATGGCCTTGTGCCACACATACCCCTATATCCTGGCATACAGTGGCAGGTGAAGTCCGAGAGGCTGTGGATGTTGGAACAGGACCCTCCATTCTGACAGGGGTAGCTGACACAGGCAATGTTGCTGTCAGTCATCTCATAAATTGTCCCCTGGTAGCCACCCTGAACCCGATCCCGTTTGTCGCCTCTTACGACATGCATGGGTTGATGAAGATCAAATCTAACCCGGATCTTTAAGGGATAGGTGTAGTGTAGTGGTTACGTAGCCTGTCAAGCAGCAGTATCGGGGGATCCGGGAATTGCCTTGTCAAACTGGCGTCCGGGTTCGATTCTCAACATGGCATAACGTTGGAAGCCCATTCCGTGAGATAGTCATAACACGGGTCTTAGTAGTGTAAGACCCATTCGCCTCCTTCAGTCAAGGACTGGCGGGGTAGCCTAGTGGTTAAAGCGCGCCCTCTGGTCACGCTGTCGATCCGGGTTCGTTTCTCCACATGGGTACAATTTGCGAAGCCCATTTCTGGTGTCCTCGCCGTGATCATGCTGGAATATCGCTAAAACCGGTAAAAGCATATTCACCACTCACTCACTCCTACAGCTAAGCTTCACGATTTTCCAAATAGTTTTAATTATTCATATTTTTATCCCAATAGACTTTTAAAAGCATTTCACCTAGACATATTTGTTTCATTTCTTTTAATCTACGGTAATTCAAAAAGCGTTTAAGAAGAGAGTCCTTCACTGCAGTGTTCCAGGACAAGAAGAACTCCCCTGACCTGCCGTTTAATGTGAAATAAGAATGTAATGATTAATACTGAATAAACACACTGTCAAATTAACAACAATACGTTTTGTTATTGCAGTCAGAATGTCTGCACTGAAATGTCGACCTTTCCAGTCCAATGTCCGGTAAAACTTGACCTGGTCCATATCTTTCTCGAGTCCAAAATAGGAACCGTATACCCTAAGGTCAATTTCCTTGTACAGCAGATTCCATGTGTGTATTTATTTTCTTCACGTTTAGTTCTTCAGGCTACGTTCTTAAGTGTCTCTGTGACACGACATGTCGCGGTTCAAAAGTGGTCGACTAATTACTGCAGTGCTGATAACAATGGCTTCACCGGCTGAATGAGAGCCTGCAAATGTCAACAGCTAACTTCATGACGTCACAGTGCTTGCCCACAGGTTGAGGACGTATACACTGTGTCTAACAGCGAGAACGTATAGATGTCAACCTCTATATTATTACATCTTTATTAACAGAGGGTTTCGGAGCATATGTTTACACCTTCATCGGATGTTTGCTGCAATGTAGAGTTTGTTTGTTTGTTTCACTCAGCAATATTCCAGCTATATGTCGGCGGTCTGTAAATAATCGAATCTAAACCAGACAATCCAGTGATTAACAGCATGAGCATTGATCTATGCAATTGGGATACGATGACATGTGTACATCAAGTGAGCGAGCCTGACCAAGCGATCGCAATCACAGGGGCATGTCACGCTTAGAAACAGCGTTAGAAAGACATATAGGTACATAGACCCTACCCTAGTACTAAATAAAAGGAAAGGGATGTAACGACGGAACCATCCCTCTTCAATCAAAGTTAGATTTCACCACGTAAAGTATTTTAAGGCCCTGTCGAGGCCTACGGATCGAAAGCGAGATGGTTTCCCTACAAAATGAGCTATAAATGGTCACAATCGGATCATTATTTCAAAAGTTATACGCCACGACTCACCGAAAACAGCTACCTCCGCAATTCCAAGCCAAAATCATGGATCACCCAAGACGGCGAAAACTCACCTTTTAAATTCGTTGATTAATTCCAGCCACGTTGACAGCACCTATGTAGGGCTAGATTCGATCGGCAGCGGCATTCCACGGGTCTAAAAACTTATTGCAACATCTACAAATCATTTCCTCGACAGTAAGCAGGCACTTTCTCCAAAACCATCGGTAATCATACTCACTTGTCGGCCATAGATGGACTTGACATTCAAGTGATCTGAGAAGATCCGCAGAAACTGAATTAGGCCATCCGATTGGTGGAAAATGTAATATACTGTAAGATTTTGACTGTTTGCTAATGGGCGCGAAATATGAACTTTGCAATATTCCTTCTATTTTGGATCATGTACGGAACAGTAAATTGTTAAGAATAATTTTAGAGGTTGTAAAAATATATTCGATATTGATTCATTTTTAGGAAATTTTATTTATAAATATTTAACCTCTAAAATTATTTTTACCAATTTACTGCTCAGGTCACTGAAATGTCAAGGCCATCTATGGCCGACAAGTGAGTATGATTGCCGATGGCTTTGGAGAAAGTGCCTGCTTACTGTCGAGGAAATGATTTGTAGATGTTGCAATAAGTTTTTAGACCCGTGGAATGCCGCTGCCGATCGAATCTAGCCCTAAATAGGTGCTGTCAACGTGGCTGGAATTAATCAACGAATTTAAAAGGTGAGTTTTCGCCGTCTTGGGTGATCCATGATTTTGGCTTGGAATTGCGGAGGTAGCTGTTTTCGGTGAGTCGTGGCGTATAACTTTTGAAATAATGATCCGATTGTGACCATTTATAGCTCATTTTGTAGGGAAACCATCTCGCTTTCGATCCGTAGGCCTCGACAGGGCCTTAAAATACTTTACGTGGTGAAATCTAACTTTGATTGAAGAGGGGGTGGTTCCGTCGTTACATCCCTTTCCTTTTATTTAGTACTAGGGTAGGGTCTATGTACCTATATGTCTTTCTAACGCTGTTTCTAAGCGTGACATGCCCCTGTGGAACCCGGGCACTCTCCTGATCTGCGCCAAGAGATCAGGAGGTACCAAACCAAGGGCACCGAGAACAATGGGGAGCCTGGCGACAGTGTACTTGGGATGCAAGCGAGACATTTCAAAGGCGAGGTCCGCATATTTATGGATAAGAACTTCTTTCATCCCAAAGTGCGATGTTTCTATAAAGCTTCTTGTACTGTTGTCAAGCAGGTATTCCTGGTTAACAACTGTCCTTATTGTACGTCCCAACTTCTAAAATGCCAAACAAAAAGAAAGTTATGTTTGAATAACCTTAACCTGTATGAATAAGATTATGTTAGTGTGTGTTTGAAAGCCACTTTGATCGGTATTCAGTTTGTATCCCGGAATGTTAGTGTTATGTGGGAGAAACGCTCCAGGAGACACGGTTCTCAGGCCAGCCAACAGTAGTATGATTTGTTTAAAAAACAAATACTCTGGGCGAACTGGGATTCATGACATTGATCACAGGTTGAATGTGTGCTCAAAGGACGTAACTCCGCGCAGAACTATGATTAGACCGCATTAATCTTTACGCCGTCTAATACACGAAACAATTATTTGGGTTGGTTGGTAAATATAATATGCCTGAAAACATCAAATGCAAATCTAACCTAGGAAAGAATGCCCGAGTGATCCGACACAAAATAGAGATGCCTAAAAACATACAAATCTAACCCAGCTCTCTGTTAGCAGCAAGTCTTCCTACTGTATACAGTTATATGTCCAGTACTGGCTTCCTACAACTGATCCAAGGAATCTTTACGAGCTACACGCAGTTCTAACACGACTCGACGATGCGGTTCATCCTGTGCCCTGTGATATTACCAGGGTCATTATTGCCGTAACTGGCGCCGACGTTATTTCACTGTGCCATTAAGTGCGAGCCCAAGCACACGTCAACTTACGTAAACGTTGTTTTGTACAGGTCCTTAGTCGCGTCATGGCCATTGAAAGAGGGTATAAAACAACGAAACACTGTAACTATCAGAGTAATACTCTCCTCTTGTCTCATTACTCCCTAATGGATAAACGCAGAAAGGCGGGCTGTGGGGGTGGACTAGAGGTTGAAGTGTTCGCTCGTCACGCCTTATACCTGGTTCGACTCCGCACACTGGTAGAGGGGCGGTAGGGTGGCCTAGTGGTTAAAGCGTTCACTCGTCACGCCGAAGGCCCGGGTTCGATTCCCAGCATGGGTAAAATGTGTGAAGCCCATTTCTGGTGTCCACCGACGTGATGTTGCTGGAATATTGCTAAAAGCGGCGTAAAACTATATTTACTCACTCACACTGGTAGAATGTGTGAAGGACGTTTTTGCTGCCCGGTCCGTGACAATGATTGAATATTACTAAAGCGGCGAAAATCCAGACTCATTTACTAAAAGCGGAGTAGGAAAGTGTATTTTCCTGCAAGACGGGTTGGTGGGGTAGCCTAATGGTTAGCGCTCGCTCGAAGACCCAGGTTTGATTCCCAACATGGGTACAAAGTGTGATGCCCATTTCTAGTGTCCCTCGCTGTGATATTACTGGAACATTGCTAATAGAGGCGTAAAACTCACTCACTCCTGCATGAGGCTTGAGGAGGTTTTGAGTTGATACGTTTTGATTAAAGTGGAAGTTTGATCCTCAGTAATATATGCTTGGCGTAAAGAGTTTCTGAGTGGAATGGGTGTCAGGCTTGGCGACCTGGTATACTGTATGTCATCATGTAGCAGTTGTGTGAATCGATTTTAAGGAGACAAAAGGCTCAAGTGAAAGCTCATCATCAGCTCTGGACCCTTGCCCCATATACACGCAGACCCATTCTCTTCCCACAGAGGTTACTCCTGTCATATCTTCCTACGTAGGAAGATATGACAAGTAACCTCTGTGGGAAGAGAATGACGCAGACCAGACAGCGAATGAACTTGTCGAAACCTTAGGGGAACGTTTGGGAGAATGTGCAGACTCGAAAACACTGCAGACTTCTGTATTACCCGGAGGTAAGAAAGGCTGTGTTGCTGGCAGCAAACCCGGGTACTGTAGATATTATGAGTTACCTAACTTCAGGGACAACACTTGCGTGTTTGTGTTGTTTGTTGTTTAACGCTTCACTCAGTAATATACCAGATTCACTGCGTGGTCTGTAGATAATCGAGCCTGAACCAGACAATCCAGTGATCAACATCACGAGCATTGATTATGCAATTGGGAACCGAAGAGATGTGTCAACCAAGTCAGCGAGCCTGACCACCCGATCCCGTTAGTCACCTCTTACGACAAGCATGGGGTGCTGAAGACCAGTTCTAACCCGGATCTTCGCGGGTCAAATCT